TCTGGGTGGTCCTTCCCACACCCCTCTCCCCCTTCCTCAGACACATTTAACTATTTAGAAAGCAGCGTAAGAAGGCCTGGCTTATGTACCTCTTTAGGGGTAGGGATGGCGCTTGATAAGGTATACTTTCTGCAATTCTCTGGAAATATAAACAGCTTCTAAACTAGACCGTGTAGGCCCCTTGATTGCTCTTGGGGCTCTGGCTAAAGACAATGTGCCCCTCTCTCCACCATGGATGGGAATGGAGTGAGAAGAGTAATGTGAAGGACTGGAAAGTTTAGCCTCTGGCCTTGGGAATAAGCTTGGAGGGCAACCTTGACAGTCCCCTTACAGGCTCAAGGAGCTCTTGCCAGTGGACAGGGGTGAGGTGTTAGTGGGGGAGGGGTTCCTGGAGTAGTAGCCATCAAATTTTGCCTGACTTGACAAGCTCCCAGAACCCCCTTGTTCCTCAACACTTCCCCAAAGTCCTTCCTGATTTGGTATTAAAGGCCCCCTTCTCCTCTCCTCCACTTCCCTCATGGAGCCACTGGGAGAGGCAGGGCAGATCCTATCGACTCTTGCCTGCCTGGCTCTTCTGGCTCCTGTCCCATAGAGAGGTGGCTGGCCGGTGGGCATTCAGTTGTGCACTCTATTTCAGACATACTCAAACCCTCTGTAGCTGCCGCCAAAAGGAAACAAAAACTGTCCCTGCCTTCTGGCAAATAGAAATCAAAGCATCTTGGGCACGCAGCCAGTCTTGGAGTTGTTGGAGACAACAGCAGCAGTATCCTGAGCTGGGACTCAAACTCAGCAAGGCCTTTCTCTGGGGAATCCCTGCCTTGTCTGCCTTCTCCAGCGCTTGTCTGTTTCCTTGGTGTGGGGGCTGCTCATGGGCTGTGCAAGGGAAAGCAGAGGGGTTTTTCTTCTACTTACTATCAGGGATTCCAAGGGCTCAGTGGGGGAAGATCAGGAAGAGGGAGGTTATGGCAAGGCTCTGGGGCAGTTTAATCAGTCCCTTCTTCTCCCCCACCCCATTCTCCTTCCAAACTGACCCAGCTCCACCCCCTTTCTGTGGTCTGGCCTCTTGGGCTACCCAGACCCCAAGGGTCAGAAAGCTCTGAGAGATGTGACAAAACATGAGAATAGGAAGAGCCTTTGAAAGTTACCCAGTCCAACTTTCCTAGTTTGCAGATGGGAAAACTGAGGGACAGAGGAGCGGCAGTGGTTTGGCCGAAGCCGAACATTACAGAGGGCAGGTCTTCTCCTACCTTGCCCAGGACGGTCTCCAGCATTAGTTGGGTCGCACAAATTTAATTTCAGTTCCAAAAGGGACCATTCCGGCACCACCTCAGCTCTTTATTCCCACCTCTGCTGTAGTCCTATTGGTTTAAGTCACTTCTGCTGGGCCATTTCAGCTCCTGTATGATTAGGGCAAAGTTTCAGGAACCTTGTCCTGATCCGTGGGAAGAATGTGGAGCTCTGGAGCTCCCAAGAGGGCTGGTGGAGGTGGAGATCTTCCAGGGCAGGAATGTTCATCTAGTCAGTCTCTCACGAGTTCAATGAGAACAACACTAAGATTCATGCAAGATTACTCAAATGAACCTGAGAGACTTCAGATTTCTGATGTAGAAACCAGTATTTCAAATCATTTTTTATAATTACTGCCACCCACAGTGAGCACATCAAGAGAAACCTTAGTTAATTCTAGGAGGTAAAATCTCACCCCAGGAACCACTTTTATCTTCCACCAAACACCTGCAGGTTGTAAAAGCAGTCAGGGAGAGGCAAGGGCGGGGTGTTCGGAAGTGGGGGCGGTGAAGGCAAGGTGGAGAGGGCTCCAGAAGACCCGTGAGTGTGGAAATCTCATTTCTCAATTATCTGCAGCAACAGAGTTTGTATAATTGGGATATAAAGGACTGCAGCTGGAGAAGAGTCAGACAGAATTTCTAACCATGATGTAGTTTCCTGGCTCTTCCTTACCAGGTTAGACAGACCTCACAAAGGGGAGGTAGGAAGGGGTCTGGCTTCTCAGACCATGGCTTTATTTGATTGCTCTTGCCTCCACTAAAACCAGTGGGGATAGGCTTATTGGCTAGGCAGGGGCTGCCTTCTGCTTGCTTTAAGAGTCTCCAAGGGACAATAGTTGAGCTGGAAAAATCGGTTAGAGACTGGGAGGGTAGGGAGTGAATGGCAGGGGTTAGCGGGTGTGGTAGGGGCTGGGAATCTATGTGGTAGGTATGGGAGCAGAGCAGTAAGTTCTGGGCTGAGGCTCAGGGGCCAGGCTGCCCAAATTGGCAGCTGTAGAGGCAGCACTGCGTGTAGAGGGGGCACTGCCAGCAGCTAGGCCTATGGGTCTAGACAGCCAGATTAGGGTCAGGGACCGAAGTATTTCCAGATCCTTTCAGGTGGGAGATGCTTTTATGGACTAGGCTGGGTAGCCCTCCTAGGAGCTTTACCACTGGACAGGTGCTACCCCTGCCTGGTAACCTCAGTACACGAGAGCTAGGCCACTGTGTCCTATCTGGTCCTACACACAGGCTCTCGATGGTCTTTACATGACACATGAACACACACTGTGTATTCCTGGAGCCCCTCTGATGTAGAACCTGGCACTACTCCATAAGTCTCCAGCATGCCTTTGGGAGTCCTTCTTTATTGGGAAATAAATACAGAGTCACACAGGTGGCACAGACAACATCTGTAGTTCTGGGGGCCAAGAGGAAGGTGTCTGACTTGCTCAGAACTCAGATCTCCATGAGCTGGTCATTACCCACGATCACTTCGTTCACTCGTTTGGCTACAAAAGAAAAGGAAAAGGTTATTTAAAAGCTGTCAGCAAAAGATGTCATTTCAAACCCAATTACTTCTAATTCTGTGTTCAAAAATATTTATTCTTCTCCTATGTAGCTCTGCTCTTGAGAATCTCTTAGGAATACAACCTGCCAAATGGACTATAGGAGAGACAGCATCTTCCCACAACAGCAGGAGGGGACTGACTCTATACACCTGGCTCTTGGGAGACTTCACATTGGAGGGGAACTGGATCTGGGTCTTAAGGTATGAACAGAATTTTTTTCAGGCAGTGTATCAAAGGGGAAGCATTCCAGGTTATTAGAACAAAAACAAAAAGATGTATGGAAAGGGAACATGAAATACTGTGGTGTGGCCAGAGGATAGGGAATGGGGGCGAAGAGTGATAAGAAATGAGACTAAATGGTTAAATGGAGATACCAAAGGAAAAAAGGAGATGCCTCATATGTAATATGGACCGAATACCACCAAACCACCAACTAGAAAAGGTTGTGTGGGGATTCGATGAGTTAAAGAATCATTGAGTGCTTGATAAATAGTGGCCATTATTATTTTCATAAAGTCCAAACCTACAGCCTGACCTTTGCCTACTACTTCAGCTTCAGCTTCCCCCATTCTCCATTTGTACCTATAAGCCATACTATTTTATAGCTCTAGACCTCAGCACATGCTGTTGCCATGTGCCCACATCACACTCTTACCCTAAATGCCCTAATCAAGCACCTCCACTATGTGATGCCTTCCCTTTCCAAATGTCCATTTCCCGTTTTGTGAAAACACTCTACCTAATACATATCTACATCATTATATCATTCTCCTCTACTTCACTGTAAGACTCTTGAAGGCAGGGGCAGTGTATTTATGATCATAGCCCAGTGTCAGCACAGCTACTGGCGCATGGAAGATTTCAGAGATTTTGGAATGACAAGGATAGGGTATGGTTCTGTAAGTGGAGAGCTAAAGTTGAAAGGAGGTGAAGGTTGGTAGAATAGAGAAGTTCAGGAAATTATGAAACTGAGAAGGGTGGATGGTTCATTGATGAATATGTTTAAGTTGCCCAAGATGTTTAGAAAAAAAGAGTGAGGGAAGAGTACTGTGAACCCTCAATCTATTTAGGAGAGTGCCCTGGAAGCTGACCATTGATGCAGTGAAAGGAGAGAAGAGGGTCAGCGTCCAAGGAATAAGAGCTATAGAAAGGAGGCAGGGAACCAGTGGTCTGGGGTAGGTGGAACCAGGAGCATTCTGTCTACTTGCCTAAAGGTATGGGGCAGATGTAGGAGATAGGAGAGTTTTCCAGTCTTCTATTGGCTCAGCCCGAAAAGGCTGATCAGTTGCCTGAAAATGGATTTTTCTGGGCTAGCTTCTCATGGCTTCTAAAGGTCCAATACCTTTCTTGCCACACTTGGCAGCTTGAGTGTGACCCTAATAGGTGAGGCAGAACTTTGGCTTTCTTGAGGCTCTAATACAGCCTCAGAAGGCTTTGGTGCAGCAAAATGATGATCCTTAATGATGGGACCAAGTCTGACAGTGAGAGATGTTTAGTGTGTTCATATGGCCCACAGCTTGAGCCTCCTGCTGTGCAGCCAGAAAGGGAGTTTCTCACCTAAGCTTTAGAGACCTTGAGATTTCAGACATGTTTTCTGTTCTATCCACCTTTCCAGTTTTGTTTCTTGCTACATCCCCCTCGCACCCTATATTCTAGATTTTCCAAATTATTTGCAATTTCTAATGCATTGGATTGTTTTTTGCCTTTAGGTGCTTGCTTACATGGTTCCTCTTTGCTTGAAAGGTCCTTCCTTTTTGTATACTTGGTAAATAGCCACAAATTTCAAGATGTAGCCTTAATTCCTTCCTTTAAGATGATTTTCCTGACCCTTGTGCCAAAAGCTGACCAATTTTTCTTTTATGACCTTAATTAACCCTGACAGTGTTCTACCATGATACTTGTGAAACTTTACTTCTTTACTCACTTGTCTCTCTATAATAGACTGTGAGCAGCTGGACAGCAAGAGGCAAGTTTTATTCATCCTTCACACCTACCCTACCATAGCCTAGAATATAGTAGGCAGTAACTGTTGAACGTGCGTGTGTTTTGGGGTTAGTGAGAATACTGATGTAGAAGAGGAAGCACATATAGCAGAAGAGAAGGCTTCCAATCTCTTTGTCAAAGAGAATATAACTGACAAATCTGGTACATTAGAGCAATGGTGCTTGAGGATCCAGTGGACAGAGAAACCTAGGTCTAGGCTTTTCACAAAATTTGCTATTATGGCGCCGCACTGGACAGAGGCAATCTCATGTGAGAAAAGGATAGGAAAAAGGAAGAAACGGTGACAATGCAGGAAG